CTGGCAGATTCCTCTTCTTTAAGGTTCAAAATTTATTTATATTTTTATAGCATTGGCGCATGACGGTTTAGAGTTTGTAACTATTATATCATTATTATGTTTTTCAAATAACTATAGGCTATTCCAAGAGGAAAAGATAAAATAATTAATTGAAAATAAACTAATGAAAGGAAATTTAAACAACATTCATCAGAATTTACGATACTAACCCTTTCTCATAAATGTTATTTCTTTGGTGTCCATCCGTGGATGTTCACTATAGTTGACCTTTTTGTTTGACCTCATCGACTCAAAGGAACAGTGTTTGAGAAGCTCGGTTAGATTTTTGTCCGTAATAGGCCATCCGAGGAACGATGCAACTTTCTCAACAACATCACTGAGACTCTATACACATTAAAGTAATTATATATCCAAATAAATAAAATATATAAAAAAAACACTTACAGTATACCATAGATACCCGGCCGTATGTCAGATACCGTCTATAATTGATATGTACCGGTACATTAGCATATATTAATTAACTAAATACAAAATTAATTAATATTTATAAACAGATAATAGGTATTGCTTCTTACTCTTTGCACGTCTTCGTATTTGACGAACAGTACGTTTTTATCGTTGCGTTGACTCCACCAATAGGAGTTCATTGAAAACCAGTTTCCAAAAACAACTGTAATGAAATATTTTTAAAACCCTACTTGCGTAACTACACTCATTCATTAACAATAATCAAGTGTTAAGATAAAAATAACTTCGATAATGATGCTGATGCTAATAATAATAATGATAGTACTGTACAGTTGTTTCAGTGATAGGTTATAAGCTTTATAGAATTATTACGGTTAGTAATTGTAACGATAATTGTAATGATATTTGAATATTAATATACGATAATGATATAATGATAGTAACGATAATCCATATCGAGGATAATAAAAATTTCTAATACAACAACAATAGGCTTAATAATAGTAACGGTTACAACAATAAGCTTATAATGGCCAAGAATAATAAGAAACTATCATGTTAATTAGCTACTCACGATTCCCATCGCAGAAATCATTCAGAAATTCACTCCACGAGTCATAGGTTGGGTAATGTTTTACCATTTTGTGAAAATAGAAGAAAGAAACAGCAGTGTCTTTTGGATTTCTACAGACAAATACAATCTAAGAGAAAAAAAACCCATCTCAAATGTGAACATGAATCAATTGGTAAACGATTTGCAAGTATATACTGATTGTTGTGAATATTTACCATTAATTATTCTCGACAGTCATATTTAGAATTGCTTATTATTATCATATACTAATTTGAGTAAGGACCAAAATGTTACCGTCCGGACGCGTGCACATCTGGAAGAAATATATTATATCACTACTCTCGTAGGTGACTTCTCTTATTGGCTTTTTTTAGTTCTATATTTATGTCCATTAAAATATGATTAAAACTAACATGAATATAAAAAGAACACAAAAAACAATTTCCATGGGTGGGTGTATAGTTTAGAATTGACAACGTTTTAAAGTATTTGAAGATCTGGAGCAGTATGTCGATCAAATGTCACTCCCAAATCATTACATATACATGAGGGTGCTATTCCATACATTTATACGTCAATAGTGATGCAAGGGCATAATCACGTCTTCCTTCGAATAACTACCATTTCAAATGTTTAATTAAATCTTCACCACGATAAATAAT